TTATCCACAGGTAGACATTCAATTAAGTTTACTGAGAAACAATAAAAAGAGCAGCTAAAGATGGGTGATTTCTGATTGATTATATCTGAATATTATGTTGCCTGCATTAAATTAACATTTTCTTCAATATTTTCTTGTACTTAAATATTCCTAGATTGCCTTAAGAACTGTTTCTCTTTCAAACTTTATTCCAAAGAATTAACTATAAATATCCCTAAACAAAATAAAAATCAAAAACTCTCTTTCTCCGACTCTTTTTTAGCTCATACTCTCTCCTAACTCTCTTTTGAAGCGAAAGCTTTTGAATTTCCAAACAGGAATGGAGTTGAGTTGAGGCCACATTATGTTGCATTTAGCAGGGGCGACACATTTGCATAACACTCACACGACCCGTGAGGATTTCAAGGAGACGAAGAGACAGAGAAGAGAGAGGTGGCAGTGAGGGATGGCCATGGAATATGTAAATAATATTTCAACAATAATTGCTTTTGAAACTGAAGTGCCCAAGCAAACGTCCAACTGTCTTAACCCGCCCCGCCCCGCCCCGCCGCATCGCCACCCACAAACTCAACCCCTGGCCAAGGCCACATAAATTCAATTTTCTCATGAGATACGAGAGAGAGAGAGAGAGAGAGTAGCACTTGCTGCTGCTGCTCTGCTGCTTCTGCTTTTGGCAGCTAGAAATAATTAAAATTTAAAACGGAATAAAATGCACAAGAATAATAATAACATTTACATTTACATTTATGCGTTTCTATCTGCCATTCCACCCGCACCCACTTGGCTTTTCTTTAGCTTAACGAAATACAATAAAAATTCAACAAGTTGAAAGGAAAACGCAGCCGCAGCAGGAGCTGCAGCAAGGAAAGGCAAAACGCAGCGGCAAAATGCTCTCAAGTGTGCCTCGTCCCAGGAGTCCAAGACAGAGAGTCCGTGCAGGGGCCTGAATAAACATAAACTTGTTTAAAATTAAACTAATGTTTATAGTTATGGCAAAACTATCTAGTGGATGTGCCGAGCAGGAAGCGAGTCCTGCCCAAGAGACTGGAACCAAAGGGGAGTGAGAGAAAGACTCAAAACGGAAATGTAACTTGAACATTGAATTGCAATGCAAGAAAATTGCAGCTCCTTGTTCGTGGCAGGGACATAGCGATTGAAATGATGATGTCTTCCCCACTACCAACCCACCCAGCCCAGTCAAGAAAACTCTTCTCCCATTTCTCCAAGGACATTTCTGCGTTGGATGATTATATAATCTCTTGTGTACTCAGGCATTTTCCAAAACGCATTTCCACTCCAGAGAAGTCCACTTGGACTCTCGCTTGAACATTGCCCAAAGACAATTGGAATTGGATTTTGTGAGAAATATGAATCAAGGATTGGGATGGATATACACTTGTGAATGTATCTCTAAGAAACAAAAGTGGGAAAGAAAGATTGAGGTGGGAAGAAGGCTTTGGGATTTACATATCTCGGGGATTTATATTATTCCTTATAAACTTTAACTATGTTCCCAAAGTTTTTTTCTTCAATTAATCATAAAATGATGTTGCATATTTTTCTTCTAATAAATGACATAATAATGGCATTATTTTCCCCAATTGTAGCTGCCAAATTTGCATATTTTTGGATCATTTTTCTCGTCTTTAGAAAATCTTAAAAATATAATTACTCGCTCACTTTTCTCCACTCCTCCAGGCACTAATTCTCAAGAAATCACCTCAGTTTTGGACCAAGTCCTAGTCTTATCTTGAAACTGTTTTCGGGCACACTTGACAAAGTTTGACTTGACTCAAAGCTAGGCAAAACAACCCCCCCTAGAAGAAAACAAAAACTAATTATAATTAAAACAAATTTCAGTTTTGTTTAGTGTTTTTTGTTGTGTTCAAGTGGAACAATTTTGGGGGAAAACAGAAAGCAAATGCCGCCATAGCCATAGCCGTGAGGCTAACGACACTCAAATCAAAAGCGATAATCTATGACCCCTTGGGCCAGACGACGACGACGACAGCAGAGGAAGGAAAACCTTTCATAAAAATACGATAGTGAGAGAGGGGGGTGGTGGAAAACACGAAATAAGTAGCCGCACTTTATATTTATGAGCAACATTCGCATGCAGCTTTAATGGCCATCGAACTGGAACTGGAACTGGACATCAGCGGCAGCACAGGACCAAAGCGAGAGAGAGGCAAAAGCAGAGGCAGAGGCAGTGGCAGCGAACGGATACGATGGACGACGACGCCCACAAAAAAAATACATTTCCTTTTTGGATTATTTAACTGCCATTCGAGGACGCGAACGCGGACCGACAACATTGAATGAATGAATGAATGGCGGCTTGATAGTAGTGGGCAAAAGGGAACGGAAAGCGGGAGGGGGCAGCGGTTAGTGGGGGACACAGGCAGAAAATAGAAATAAAAGTAAGAGAGGTAAGCGAAAAGCCAGAGCCAAAGCCAAAGCCAGAGCGAAAGCAAACGACGACCCGCAGGCCATGAAAATCTCTCTCCTCAAACTTCCCGAAAATAAAATAAAGAAAAGAAAAGGCAAAGACGAAAATCGACAAGAGGTTTTCCACACCACCTGAGGGGGGAATATTCTCTTACTGGTTATTTATTTGCTCGTTTATTTTCAGCACTTTTTCGGCGCATTTATTAGAAGTTGTTTTGCCTCCAGGCACACCCCCCACACACACATCCAAACACACACAAAGGGGTTGGCTGAGCAAGTTTTTTTTGCAGCAAGAATTTTGCGTATTTTACAGACAGACAGCTTGCCATCGAATTGAAAATCATTTGTAAATCAAATTGAAAATTCTGCCAAAAGAGATAGCTCTGAAGAGTCCTTAAGGCTGCTGCTGCTGCTGCTGCTCCTGCTGCTGGTTGGTAAATTTGTCAAAAGCAGCGAACATCATTCGTCATGATGCCGATACCGCGAGGATGCCAGGCAGCAGGCGAGGGAGCAGCCAGCAGATTATATTTGAACAGCAGTGAACTTTTGAGCCCTGGCCTCGGTCTCGGCTTTCGGCTGTGGCTCTGGCTTTGTGTCACAGTGCCTGCAGGGTGCTGCGTGGGCAGTGCGGCGTGTAGTGGCGTTCTGGGGAAATGAGTCAGAAGCAGATAATGCTGATTAAGTTGATGGCACATCATCGTGGCGAGCAGTCGCTGGGGTCGGTCTTGTCTGACTTGTCAACTCTCGTATCCACGAGATATTCTTAATTGTTCGTTATTAATGATGCCACTAGTACACGGAATGGGAATCGGACTGGTGCTGCTCCCGTGCTTCTGATTGTCCCTTTTGTTCTGTGACTTTCAATTTGAAAATGACCCGCCCGAGCTGACTTTGATGAATGTGCGAGTGTGAAAAACCACAAACAGACTAATTGATTGCCGGCTAAAGATTTGGGAATGGGATAGCCCCAGACTTGGGGCGCAATAGCCAACAATCTAATCCCATTCCCTCCTGCATTTGAACTCCTTTCTCTGTCTGCTGTTTGTGCGGAGGATGCCACAAATCAGAGCAAGGTCCGAGGGCAAATTAATGCAAGCAACAAACTGTCAGTTTGATGAGCCATGAGAAGAGGAGGCCTACAGAAACATACGAGGTGCAAGGAGTGAGCACACAGAGAGAGAGAGAGAGATGGAGCTTCACGGTAGCAGTACAAGCACAGAGTTGCCAGCAAAGAGAATAGGCAGAGGCACGGCCTATGCTGCATAGCAGGATAATCGCATTGAAAGGCCCACCAGCAACAGAGTGGCTTCCAAAACAGAGGTTTAGAGATAGGCCTGAAAGCAAAAGCAAACTCCCACCCAAAACACTCTCAAAAACGCTCCAACAGTGAGAGGGTCATAAATAAATTGCTGCTTGAGCAATTTTCAATAAATGACAGCACAGTCCTCGTCCTGCCTACTATCTCTTGTCAAACGGAGGAACTCCACTTGACAATCAATAATTTGAAAAGGAAATGGAATGGGCGGAAAGGGAGAAACTTTGCGTATGGGCAAGTACGGGGTGAACTTGGAAGACAACAGAGAAAATGTCTAAGCGAAAGCGAAGAGGGAAGAGGGGAAGGGAAGGACCAGTTAATAGAGGTAGTTCCTGTAAGTGTAAAAACTCTTGAATTCCATTTTGCTGGCTGCTGATGGACGCACATAAATTTTCGATTATGCGGACCATTACACAGAAAATGAAGAAAATTCATCAGAGCTAGAACTGGGGGAACGCGGAAGGACTTTTCACTGTGCAGAGTGCCATTTTATTGCCTCTTTTTATTGGATGAAATCAGAGAGAATGCTTTGATATTGATACTGTACTATGCGGGAATTAATATGCAGGAGTTTTTGGGTTGCGAATGGGAGATGAGATTGGAGTTCAAAATGTGTCTCAATCACCGCCTGGAAATTATCAACTGAAAATTGGGTTTAAATTCAGATGGAACCCTAATCAATATCTACTTTTGACACTCCTTTGGCTATAGGTGCTGCAAATAGCATTTACCAACACTGAAAAGATGCGTTTTAAGTACTGCTTGGAATAATTCACCTGAAATAAGATTTATCTACAAGTTTGATTCAGTAAATCTACACTTTTGCTCGACATGTCTAAATTGTTAAGCTCTCTGGCACCTAAAACTGCATTTACCAATACTACAAACCAAAGTTTTATTCACTCCCTGAAATATTAAAGCTAAAAATGGTTTCCAAACCCCGAATTGAGTCTAAAAATGTATAATCAAGTGGCTTGTTCCGCCATAAATTTCAGTTTATCTAACTGTTCAAGTTTTAAGTAAGTCCCAAATGGCCCTTAACAACACTGTAATCTGTAAACACACAATTTTAAAACACAGGCCGTAGCTAAACTCTACTTTTAATCGCTTTTCCATGTAATTTCGAATGCAAATGCCTCAACAGATTTCCATTCTAAACCGATTTCCGCAGAGATTAGTGCCAGCACCCCACCCGCCCTTACACACACACAGCCCCCTCAAAAAGTGGAGTACTCACCGTGGTTGTGGCCGGTGTGGTGGCCGTGTGCGGCGTATAGGCGGCATAGGCCGGCTGGGGGAGCGGCGCCGTGTAGCGATAGGCGGCCTGCTGGGCCACGGCAGCAGCGGCGGCGGCAGCGGCCGGGGCATAGCCCTGTGGGGTCCAGCTGGTGGCACCGCGATAAGGGGCGCCGGCGGCCAAAGCAGCGCCGGCAGCAGCAGCGGCTGGGCTCGTCATGGCCGGTGGACGCTGTGGCAATGAGCCTTTGAGTGCAACGGCTGAGGCGGTTAACGGTGCGCCGGGAAAAGCGCTGCGCTGCTGTGTTGACGAAGCGGCAGCGGCGGCGGCAGCGGCAGCGGCACTGGACGAGCTCCCCTACAAGAATATAGAAAAGAGAGGAGAGAGAGAAGAGTGGTGGGGTGATGGTAAGTAAGGGGGGCTAGTGGGCGAGTGGTTTCAACATAAATAATATAGTCTATGTTTTTGCTCTATTTTTCTGTTTTGCTATTTTCTGTTTTTGTCGTAAATAGAAAACCGCAGCGCGCGGCAGCAGCTGTGGCTCTGCCGTAAAGCTTTGCTCACCGCTAGAAAAAAATACAACCGCCATGACATCCGTTCTAACACGCTCACACGCACACACACACACACACATGCATTTATTCTGCATATGAAGTACACACACACACACAGCTAGCTGTGCACTTGGAAAATTGTGGGTTTATGGAGATTTTGTTTTATTGAGTGCCAGGTGCGCGCATTCGTCACAAAAACGAAAACAAAACAAAACAAAAAACGAAGGCAAAAGGGAAGCAGAGGCATGTTAGAGCAGGGGGGAATTACTCCCATGGATCGACATGGGAGATACTCCATTTTTGCATGATTTCAAACAGTTCTCAAACGCTGTAAATTCAGCTAACAATTAATCTTCAGTGTCAAATTTAAACCTCACCCCAAGCTCATACCCTTCTCAGTCGCATTCGTTGACCCTACAGGGTATCACTTTTATAGAAATAATAGTCAGTCAGTCGCAGTAACCGCTGCCATAAATAATTGTGCCCCTCTCTACACATGAGAGTTTGCCCCCCAAAAAGGGAAGGAAACAGCCCAACGGCAACGGGAGCGGCAGATGCAACAGTCGCTCGACGCTCGACGCCGTGTCCTTGCTGCTGCCTCGTCGCTTCCTGTGTGTGCTCCAGTTTTGCATTGCAAATGCATTTGCTGCCAATGCAGCTCCGATGGTGCCTTTGGGCCATTTCTCTTTTTTCGCTTGCCTATTTTTTCCTTGTCCTTGTTGCTGTTTTGCTATATATGGCAGGGATCTACCATTATTTGGGGTCACTTGCCATAAACACAAATAAACCACCTGCCACACTGTCCCTGCCTGTTCCGCTCTCCCCCCTCTCTCTATGTTTATGTGTGTGTGTGACACATTCCCCTCCGCATAAACAAATTTTTTCCACTGAATTTTACAAGGTGAACATTTTCATTTTTCGATAGCGTTTCGCGAATCTTTTCATATGAAAAACATTACGAGAAAACAGGAAACAACTGAAGCAGAATTGAAGCAGAGGCAGGTCCTTTCGTTTTGAGCCTTGCGTGCTGTCGTTGATTTTCCAATTGCAAATTATGATGGCAAATATTTGATTTTCGTTTGGTTTTGCTCCATTTTTTGTTTCGGGTTCTCGTCTCTCACGTTTTCCAGTTAATTTTTGTGTGCACGCAATTCGTATGTGGTTTTTCGTTTGCCACAGAGAGGAAGAGGCAGAGGGAGGAACAGGTGCGCCACAGAAGTCAGGGATGTGGAAGAGGTCTGTAATTTGGCAGTTAAATGGCAGAGAACGAGTAATAATGGTCTCTGCCACCCATACGACACACTAGACTCGAGAGAGAGAGAGAGAGACAGAGAGCGGCGTGTGTTTGTGGCTTTTTGTGGTATGTGAACAAATTTTAATGGAAAATGTTGCTTAGTTTAAAGAGTGGAGAAGTATGGAGTTTAGGAGCTGTTAAATCTATTCTTTCTAAGCTTTTGAAACAACCTTCTGGCAGCATCCACTTTTTGTGCATATTTTTCGTAAACAGCTGCCAAAAAAAAAGATCGTGTACAAATTGCTGGCACATAGATTTTCCTTAAAAGTTCACTCCAAATCCATTACACATCCTCACACATTTGCCATTTATTTGGAATGGAAATCCCCTGCCCAGCCCATTTATTTTCAGTGTAGGGTCATAAAAGCGAATAGCCAAACATTTTAAGCGCACAAATGCTATAAATTTAAGCCGCTAAATTAGACACGTTTAGCACATTCGAGGCCCCAGGGCCCGAGACACACACATACTGGGGACTGAGGCATGTGCCTGCCCGAAGCCTAGTCATGGATACACATCATCCTCTCGACTCAGTCCCCCTAAAAATAATCATAAAGGTAATTATTTTATCGCTCGTTCAAATTCGCTTAATTTCAACCGTTGACTGGGCTGCAACGTCGTCGTCTGGCTGCAAAATTCTACATAAAACGAGCCCCCAAAAAACAAGAACCTGAAGCACTAATGGAAAATGGAGAAAAATATGAAGCGCCCTCCACTCCTGGGTTTCCTGTTTCCTGTTACTGCCCGCCAGCCTTCTCCAATGGCCAGCTGTGGCTCCTGTGTGCTGCAGGGCGACGAGCACGAGGACGTGGACGTGAACGAGTAAGAGTACGAGGACGTGATTAATTACCAAATTGGGAGCCATTATCGCGTGCACTTGGCGAGGGTGTTTGTAAAGTTTTTGCGGCTCACGCACACGCCCAAAAAAACATATAGAAAAGGGAAGGAGGTAGCAGTGAAGAGAGAGAGAGAGAGAGAGAGAGAGAGAGAGAGACCGCTAGAAGACTATAGACTAGAGAATGCCCAGTAATGGGTAAACTTACGAGGAATAGATCGGTGGGCAAAGGGTTCAATTTCAGAGAGAATATACCGTAGAAATACGCCAGATATTTATTACATTTCTGCTGCCATTTAGAGTCAGAAAAGTGGCAAGAGGGACAGCTGATAGCCTGAGATGCCAGAGAGATAGGGAGCAAAAGGCAGCCCCAAACACTGGGGAGACACCCAAACCAACAGTGTTTCCCCCTAGTAATTTTGGTCGCGTCTCGTAGCATTTCCGTTGACGCTTTTGTTCTCTATTCTATTAGCCCTCAGCCATAACCCCCACAGCCTGAAGTTTGCCACATTTTTATGCAAAAAACGTTTCGTTTCCGATATCCTGCGATAGGCCAAAACGCTGTCTGGTTGGGGTCCTGTGCTTCCTGCTTAGTCTGGCAGCAAAATCAAGCGCAAAATATTAATGATAATAATTTATTACCAAGTGACAGGTGGGAGAAGCGGCAGGAGGACAGGAGACAGCAGACAGCAGACAGGAAAGGAGGTGCTGCTGCTGCTGTAGCTGTGGAATTTTCTTGCCTTCCCAGGAGGCCTCCTTTTTTGGGGGGGTGTGGAGTTCGTTCCCCCCTGATAAACGTTTTGTGATTAGCGGTTGTTGTTGCTGTTCGTTCGATGGGTTTTCGTGGCGGGTCTTTGTCATTTTTATTGTAATTTTCGTTTATTTTTTGTTTAGGGAAAATTTATGCACAAATTTCGATTTTTACTTGTCGTGCGAGAGGTGGCATAGAATGTGAAATACGTGAGCGGTTATAATGTGCCGGGGGTAGGGTGGGTGGGTGTAAGCGCAGGCCAAAGCTTATTTTCGATACTTTAAAAATTAAACGAGCTTTGTAATAGGATTTCGTGGAGTTAAAAGCGACTGCAAGTATTTACCATAACGAAAATAATAGAAAATGTTCTGAGCAATCGATTCATTGAGAAAGCAATGGATTTATTGGGCAAAACGTAGATTAATTGCAAATTTCAATCGTTTTTTATTGCTCTTCTTGGATCCACACTTCAAATGAAATCTTTTTCGCTAAGGTTTTCCCCTATTTTTTTGCACATGCTCTGACACAAAAATATTCAAATTACTTAATGCAAAAACTAGTTGCAAGCTGAAGCAAAATTCTACAAAAATAAAACAAACACACACTGACAGATGACGAGGAGCAGATGCAAGCTGCATAAAAGCCAAGAAAGAAAAACTGGGACTCTGCTTCTGCCACTGCCTCTGCCTCTGCCTCCACGATTCACTTGGCATGCAAAGCCGCACTCAGAGAGTGCCTCACGCCACCGATGCAGGGAAAAATGCATGTGCAAAATAAACAAAATATTTGCATTTTCCTTAAGAAATGTTTGCACACACACTCAGACAGGACACTCAGAGACATGCAGCAAACACGCACACAGACACACACACACACACACACACACACAGACACAGTTGCAAGTAAAGACAGGGAGGGGAAGTGGATGTGGGGCCGTTCTCTTTGTATAATTCATATTTTCCAACCACTTATTGTTTAAACTAAATAAAGCAAAAACTTTTTCCATAATTAAAACCGACGGCACAGCGAGACCGTAAAGCTGGGAGAGAGGAGGAGGTCTCACAGGGGAAGGCTGTGCGGATTGAAGGTGGTGCTCAGGGGGAAAGGAAGAGCACTGTTTTGCGGGGGGGTACTCTCGTGGGCGCAAGAGCGGAAAACAAAAGGATTTTCCTTCGGTTTTTCGCTTACATTTTCTGCTCCTGCTCCCTTCCCTCCCGCTCGGACTTTTGACTATTTTAATTCTATGCGGCGGTAAATTTAATTTTCCCCATTGTCCTGTGTCGCCCGTCCACCCCCTCCAAGGACTCCCACACCCTGCAGCTTTGCATGAAAATTCACGGAATGAAAGCGCTTAAGGGAATGCAAAAAAAAGGGGTTTCTGGGTGTTTTCTGGTACCTAAAAATAGGCTTGGAAGGCTGAGGAAAACTGTTACACATGTGCCAGTGTGGTGTGCGTGTGTATCTCAATGCGTATCTGTGTGAGTGAATTGCATATGTGTATGTGTGGCTGTGCATGCAAGTTTTCCAGCCTATTTTGCATTTTTTTCTATGACTCTCGAGGCTACAAAAAAAGGGAAAGCACTCGGGGATTTTCAGTTTCTTTTTTGTAAATTATTTTATTTAAGCGTGGAGTGGGTGTAGGGGTGGTGGACTATATAAATATTCATAGCCATGCAAATAAAAACAAAACAAAAGTTATTCTGCTCATCTTTTTTCATACAAACTTTTGCCAAATTGAAAGAGAATTTCCAAAGAGATTAGAGTTTGAGGATTTGAATAATATTATTTCGTGCAATAAGAAGAGGTTAGAGCTAACATTTTGCATAATACTTCACGATTTATGTTTACTCGTTTTATTTGTCTTTTCTATATTTATTTGTGTGCGCGTTGATGGAGCAACTTATCAAATTTCAGCACCAAATG